CTTACTTACTTACTTACTTACTTGGTTAATTGGTAAAATAATATAAATAATTCTTAAAATGACTGGTTGTTTTTCAGCACAGAGTATTCTAATTATTGTTCTAGTGAGAAAGTTGTTTATTCCGACGCAACTTGAAGGTTGCTCGGGTCGTGTCGGACGGGAAGCGGTTTGACCAAAACAGATAAAAATAAAGCAGCGCTGGCAAACATGTACATATATTATCGGTTCTGTTTGTTATGATATCGAACCGATAAGTATGACGTCATAATTCCCTGATATCGGGCCGATAACTATCGTGCACCCTTAAAAATAAGCTTAACGGAACTAGAAATCTGCGCTGCCAGATCTGCCATTTGCGAACCAATCTCACCAGCTCCCGCTGGGAGGATTAGCGGTGTCTTCTGCCTTCATTTCTGTTAACAGACTGTAGGAATGTGGAACTCTTTTAATTATATTTTTGTGTTGGTTGGTGTGTTGGTTCTTAACAAGACCATTAAGATGATCGATGGTCATAGAAATGTTTCCAGAGACGTCAGGGAGGTAGGAACAACACATCCGATGGTCCGATGACATGACAAAGTCCTCCCTGGGGAAGCCAATAAGAGATGCAAAGCCGTGTGGTGCTGAAGGAGTACGTTTCTTGATGCCACAATGGAAGGAGACAGTACTGAAAAGCCTTCTTCGACAAAGGAAGTCAAATTTTCCAGACGACTATGTAAAGAATTTAACTTATAAGCATTGTTAACTGTGCYCCACCAAGGAAATAAGCCACCCGCAACCTTTTCACCTGTAGAAACCATGATCAACTTTTTGGACCTATGATCGTCATGATCTGATCTACCACTGTGATTGCAGGAGAAAGGTCAACTAAAGTGCAAGTACCTGACCAATTAGGTGGAATTGCCTCATAAAAATGTCAACCACATAACCAAACATAGTCCTGAGGAAATCCTGACCCTAAATCATCAGGCCAGRCTAGAAGGTAGGCCTGAACAGCAAAAGTTGGAGAAAGTTTGTGAGACTTAATTCTAGAAGGAGAGCGGCGTACAAGGCAAGAAGAGATATTAAAAGGGGGCGGAGCACAGGTGCTGTCCACTGTATGAAGACAATCCTCTGTCTCACCAAGGAAAAGTCTATTAGGGTTCTGTGCTCAGTGAACACAAAAAGGATGAGACATGGAGCTGTAAAAAGAATGAACAGTTCCTACTGGTTCAAATAAGGAAGAGTTGTCAGTATGTAACCCCCCCCCAAAAAATATATATATATATATCCCAGCTTTAAGTGAGTCACAGAATAACAGGTTTAACAGAAACTCAACRTTTAACTAAACCACAATCAACTGTTCATGTTAACGTAGACCCAAAATCATGACAAAAAATAAAAATAAAATAAAAATAGGCTTAAAGTTAAAGTCAGTCAGAGAAGTCAGTGTCTTTGTCAAAATTCTCATGTTATCAATTACACACCTTGTAAAATTCAGTGTCATGACACACTCCATGATATGAACAGGACAAAAACAAAACAAACAGTACTGTGGCCACACACCAACATTTTCAACACAACCATTGTACAGGACAACATAACAAGAAAATATATGAAGAATGAACTGTTATCAGTATTGCTCATTTCTGATAAGACTCTTGTTATGTGTTCTATTTTCACCAAAATGATCATTTTTAAGAGTTTATAAAGCACAGTTTAGACCACTTTTTAAAACAGTTGCTGAACTTTCCCACTAGGTGAGAACACAACAGTAATTTTGTCTTCATTCAAAGTAACCACTGAAGTACATGGGTTTAACAGTCTGAAATGTACCAGACGTTTGAAAGTGCAGCGCTGAGGTCTGATTTACAGATTTGTTTTTTAGAGTCATGGGTGTGATTTTGAGTGTATTTAAAACCTTGGAACAATTTTAACTTTTTTATTTCTGAGTAAGGCAGATGTCATAAACCAGATGGTGAGCAAGAAGCAAAGCTCTTTACTCAAATTAAACATTATTGTATCCCTTTTTGTATTTTCAGAAACMGTTATGCACGGATAATTTTAACTTTGCATCAGTGACACAGGAAGTGAATATTTTTCTGTTTAACTGTTTCAAGTTGGTTGTCTGAAGTTTGTGCAGACTCATGTAGACTTATGCACTGGCAAAGGCTCACAAGTCAAAGGTCAGTCTTAATGTAAGAAAAGCTCACATTTTTTTTATTTTATTTTTTAAATTAACACCAAAGGTATATTTGTGATTGAGTTGTTCTCACCTTTTGTGAGCTTTTTTCTTTTAATTTTTTTTTGTTTCTTAATGGTGTGCGCTTGTGTCTTGTGAGTTTTTGTTTTGTGAGCTTATGTCAGGGACTTGTAGGCAGACTATCTGGCCTCTTTGTTGATACAAACAGGACAGGGTAAGTGCATGCTGCTGTCAGACCTTTAAAAGCTGCTACGTCTCTGTTGAGACTAAATCTAGCTTGTTGCTTTAGCTCCATGTAGCAGGTGTTTAGAATGACGCTAAGCCACTTAGATGCCAATATATTCACTGCAATACTTGGGCCAGTTTCAGCCCCAATATCTCTGCTGTACAACCTATTAGTTGCCACTCGAGAAATGTCTGCAGAGTTTGTGTGTGCATGCTACCTGTGACACAATTACTTTGCACCTTGTGTTATGACGGACAGATGTCACAAAAGTGGCAACTAACTTCTACGTGTTGAGTCGTTTATAAAAAGGAGTATTATTCTGTGGTTGAGTGCTGAATTATTTTAGATCTCGTCTCATTTCATTGCAGCCTTACATTACACACAAACATGCACCTAGAATAAAACATCTGGAAAACTGTTCTAATAAGTGAGTGTCTCTAACGAGAAAAATTAGATTCCTGACTGCGTTCATCGTAATCCAGTGGATCAGTCACACACAAACCAACATAATGGCAGAACAACACTGTAAAATAAGCAATAAGTCATTTGAAATWATCAGATGGCTCTCTAGTTTCAGCTATAACTGTGACCATGGGTGGCGACGTTGTTGTTGAGCAGTTGTGACTTTTTTTCCTCAAAGTGAATAACAACAGTACATCCATCTCTCTGGAGGCATTTTTTGAGGTTGAAATGTTTCACATTTGTTGGATACAAACTGCCAAGTTAGGTTTTCTGTCGTACTGCTTTTTGCCTCAACAATGAGAGGGATTTTTTTTAAGARAGAAAAAAACTTAAGCCATTCTTGTTTTTATGAGCCTACTCGTAAAACTGTTTTTCAGCCTTTTTTTACTGAGCAACAATGGATTCATTTTCGAACACCTCATTGGGTAACATAAATTCTTTTGCAGTGACTCTGAGCAGCAGTGACTGATTTTGGCTTCTCTAACATGGGCATTTGTACTCATTTGTTTAGTCTGTTGCATGCCCTCTCAGCAGACCGGTTTCATGGAGGTGTTTTTTTTTCCTTTTCAAGTTTACTTGGTCAGCCACACTCTTTCTCCTGAATATTTATGCTAAAAGTTTAAATGGGTTATTGGCTACCACATATTACATTAAACATATTGACGTTCTTTCATTTTCTAACACAATTTTTTTATTGAATATATATAATACACTTGTCTCTTTTTTTGTCCTAACTTTGTCATTTTCACAGAGAGACACGCCTTTCTTGACATTTGGGTGCGTCTGTCACTTCACATTTTTCCATTGATCCTTTTTTGTGTTTTTAATCGTTCCTCTCCTCACAGGTGCTGTTAGTACTTACTGTCTTGGCCTTTTATCATCCTGTCTTTATTTATTTTTATTTTTTTTACTTTTATATTTTTATTTATTTTACATTTCCTCCCCCTCCATCCTGCTCAGCTGCACACTCCCTCGATGTGGACAAACGCACCCGTCAGAAATCACGGTCTCCTGGCCGACACGATTTGTACTCTCTGGAGCGCTCGCCTCGGGATCACACTCCAGATCAACACTCAACAGATCCCAAAAAGAGCGGACACCCGAGACAAGACTCGACGGCCCCTCGTAGCCATTCCAAACATCCGGAGCAGTACTTGGGGACCACCGACGGAGGGCGTAGTAGGCATGCAGATCCATATCCGGAGCACCTGCTGCCCTCCAGAGGCAAGCACGAAGACGGATATCCAGAGTTTGAATCTGCACATACCAGAAGAGCCAGAGAAGAAGGAGGGAGAGACGCTGATCGAGTGGTGAGGAGGAAAGAGCGACCGGAGAGACCTCCTGGACCACCTTCACCAAATAGTCCTTCAGAGAGAGATGAGGTCTGGAACAAAGAGAGACAAAGACACGACAGGGGAAGAGATTATAACTTGGACAAGCGTGTAGAAAAAGATTATAGGAGAGACAGGGAGCAGGACCTCAGGCCAGTGAGAGACAGGGAAGAATTCAGAGATCGAGGAACGAGTGGAGACAGACACAGAGAGCAGGACAGACCGAGACAAAAAGACAAAGACAGGCAACGGGGCAGGAGCAGGGACAGGGATCTCCAAGAGGACTTTTTGCAAGACAAGCGACGAGGCAGGAGCAGGGACAGGTGTCTTGATCTGGACTCTATAGAACAAGGACGCAGTAGAGACCGGCCCAGAGAGAGCAGGTCCTCGTGGGAGGAGGACGAGGTGGGCGGTGAGAGGAGGGCCAGGAGCTGGCTGCGTGTCCACTCGAACCCTGTGGAAGTGTTTGACGAATGCGTGAATGTTAAAGGACAAGGAGACAGGGAGACGTGGGACCCCCAGCAGGGGGACAGCAGTCATAAAGAGACAGGTACCGCCCCAAGCCTCCCCCAGGCTCTATGGGGGCATTTGTGTGGTTTGCTGCTGTTGGTTTCTGCAGGTGGTGGGTTTTAATCAGAATAAAATGTTTCTGATGGTTTGAAAAGACTTGCTCTTGTGCTTTGGGGTCTTGCTCTTTTCTTGCTGTGTTTGCCGAGTTACAGCGGCGATAACGATTGCCCTGATGGCTGAAATTGGTGTGATGTGTTTCCTGTAGAAAAAAAATCCAAATGAACTAATGTCTTTTGGCATTAAGAAAGGGTTTCAGGATTGCCAAGCTGGTTGTATTATCTCATCAAATTTCATCTAATTGTTTTGCTGCTGCTTAAAGTCTAGTCTTTAAGTTTATTATCCCAAATGTGACTAAATTAATAAAGGAAACAAAATGGTAAACACCAGTGGAGATGCACTGCAGCCCTTTAGATGCCTTTATGATTTTAAAAAAACTTCACTTTAATGAGCCATTCAAGGTTTTATTAACCAACCAACCAATTAATAAAAATTCAATAAAATTAACATTTATTTGTAAATCATGTAAATCACCTGGGTAGAATTATGCAAAATCGATAATTTTTTTTACCTTCACCTCATTCCCTCATCAAAAACATACCTCGAGTGTTGCTTTGACTCATTCATTCATGTTTAAGAAATCCTTGAATCTCGTGTGACAGCCATATCGAGCTGCCTAAACACTTGCTGGTACAAAGCTCCACCTATTTGTACAAAGCTCCACCCTGGAGCTCAGTCTGCAGAAGAGCTCCCCTCCTCCAAAGCATTGTTCTGAAGATGTGCTGAAGTGGGGGTGTCAGAAATGGCAGGAGGTTCTTAAAGAGACAGAGGCCATTTTCAAGTCATTTCAAACAAAGAATTGAACTATGTGCCCGGAAAATGCGTAATACCCCTCTTTAAGCATAACKTAGTTAATCGACATGTTGATTTTCTGTAGTTTGGATGCTTTTACAATTTTCAGACAATTTTTTTTACATAATTTAATTTATTTAAATAATCATCACAACTGACTCTCATTTGATTGCTCACGTGATTTGAATTCACCTGCAGGTCGTATTGTGCACAAAGGAAGTGGGACGGTCATACCAGAAACGGAGTACGGGCTGAGGGAGGCCACCCAGGGGCTGACAACTCTCGATCTCCACGAGCAGGAGCTGAAGGACATGGAGGTTGCAAGAAGACTCCAAGAGGAGGAAATCAAGGTGAGACATTAACTAGACAAGCATTTTAGGTGATGAGTTTCACGCAAAACGAGGATAAGTATAGTCACACACCAGATTATTATTAATGAGGTTGTCTTGATCAAATATTTGACAAAAATACAGTAATGTTTTTTTGTTTCAGGCAAGCAATATGCATGTTCGTGCAGCCCAACTGGCAAAAGATGAGGCAAGTCTGGAAACGTTTTTATATTGTCATGCATCATTTCCATGTTTTTGATTTCCCTCTGTTTACCCAGCTCAGCTGATTTATAGCTGAGTCTGAACCAAGCATTACGCAATGAGAAATAATATTCATGCTTTCATAGATGAGCTGTATGCTGAGCATTATGTTCTTCTGAAGGAATTATGCCATTAAATTCTAAAATCCTCTTGGACAGTGATGTGTGTGGGTTTATTTTTATTTTTTGTCTGTGCTGATGATCTAGTGTTTTTGTTGTGGCAGGAAGTAGCCCGACGCCTGGCGGAACACGAGAAGAGAGAGTACAGAAAGAATCGAGAGAAGGAGCGAGAGAGGTTGGCCTCGGAGAAGATGGGGATGGAGAGAAGGCGGCACGAGGGAAGCTACAGGGTAACTTTTCCCTAACACCTGTTTTTAAAAAAAAAGTGCTCATTTTGTACAAACATCTTTTATTTTTCCCCTTCTTCCTTTTTTAAATGATCTTTTTTTGTTGTTTTCCAGGCAAATTCAGAGGAAATCGTACGGCCCAGAACACGAGACGAATATGATCATCACAGGCAGAGAAACCAACACAAATCTGCCAGGTATGAAGCCAGATTTAAAATAAAAGATTCCAGATGTTGAGCAGAAATGATTGATGTTTCCTCTTCTTGTCTCAGGCCTCCTCAGCCTCATACACATGACTATGAGAATGTGAACCCTGGCTATGTCCACCCTGCTTCCGCTCGTCCCACCACAAGACCTGATGCTGCTTACAGAGGTACTTGGTGTATATCCAACCCTTTAAACATAAAGAATAATAATAATCATCTATTTTAATGCAAGACACAAGTATTGCTATAACTGTGTTAAATTTAACTTGGATATGTTTAGTGTTTTAATCAGTATAAAAGAATTTTCTGACAAGAAACTGGCTTGAAAGAGTTTTACTGAAGCACAGTGTTTGCTTCCTCTTAAAACAGTAGCAATCAGGAGCAGGAAACTATATACTGTATATGT